TACCTTTGTTCCTAGAAGCAATGGAGAATGTGGTCCGGCCCTCCACAGCCGAACACAGTAAGAACATGGCAACAACAGTTAGGAGTCTTAGCTGGGGTCATTCTTACAGATTCCTGGGAGTTTCCCTTGTACCAGGTTTCTGTCTGACCCTGAGAAATACCGCTTTTCCTGTCATCTCTTTTGATATTCTTCCCCTCCACCCACCCCCAATCCTATTCCTCATGTTCTCATCCCCACTTCTCCCAGCCCACCCACAAGCTCTCTTATTTTTTCTTCCCAGAGAGATCCATGTCCCCTTTGGACCTTCCTTGTTACCTAGTCTCTCTGGGTCTGTGGATTGTAGCATGGTTATCCTTTATTTTATAGCTAATACCCACTTACAAGTGAGTACATACTATTTTTATGAGCTTAGATTACCTCACTTAAGATGATTTTTTTCTAGTTCCATCCATTTGCCTTCAAATTCCATGATGTCATTGTTTTTATCAGATGAGTATTATTGTACTGTGTAAATGTACCAAACTTTCTTTACCCATTCTTCAACTGAGGGACACTGTGGTTATTTCCAGGTTCTGGCTATTATGAATAATGCTGTTATGAACATAGTTGAGCAAGTGTCCTTGTGGTATGGTTGAGCATCCCTTGGGTATATGACCTAGAGTGGTATATAGCTGAGTCTTGAGGTAGATTTTCTGAGAAAATCCCATATTGATCCTCAAAGTTAATTCCAGAATTAATATTTTTATCCTTTCTCCAAAGAAACCCTATATTCAATAGTCACTCTAAGTTTCTCTATCCCTTACCCATTAGTGGTGACTTTTACTTTCTGTCTGGATGACTTGCCTACTCTAGACATTTAATATAATTAGAATAACTGTATGTATTGTCTTTTGTGCCTTTCATTTGACAAAATGCTTCCAAGGTTTATTTATACCATATCACACATCCTTACTTTTGTCCTTTCTTTGCCTAAATAATGCGCCATTCCATTTGGTTTGCTCATCAGTGGGTCATGAATAAATACTGGGGCTGTTTATACCATTTGGATCTGAGCAGCTGTGTACAGGTTTTTGTAATACCTATTTCCAATTATTTTAGGTATAAATCTAAGAATTGAATTGCTGCATTATAAGAATAATTAGTTGTTTAATATGCTGTGGAGCTCCCAAACTGTCTCCAAAACCACTGTCTTATTTTCCACTCAACTAGAAGAGTCTGAGCTGGGAAGTTTCTTTGTGTGCCCAGCACTTGTTGCTCTTCCTCTGGCTTGTTAGATGATAGTGTTGCTTTGTATTTCCCTGCTCGATAAGGTGCTGGATCTCTTTTAATGTGCAAATGGTTGTTTCTGTATCTCCTTCGCAAGTTTGTGTGTGAATGTGGACATGCATATGGTGCTGCACGCTTGTGGAGGCTGGAGGACAGCTCGAGCATCAGTCCTCGCCTTCCACCTTATTTCATAAGAGTCCGGATCGCCGCTGTTCACTCCAGGCTAGCTGACGAGGGAGTTCCAGCGGGTTCTCCTGTATCCACTTCCGTCTGGACAGAGGGCAACTGGGACTACAGAGGACCACCGCCGCTCCATCATGTTGGGTGTGGATGCAGTCTCAAAGCAAGCCCTTACTGGCTGCACCATCTTCTGCTTTGCATTGCACTTTATTTAATTCTGAAAAGCATTTTTCAATTCTTCTCTTCCTCTTCTCACCTTGAACTACCTTTGTGTGTGTGTGTGTGTGTGTGTGTTTACTTTGTAAATACACTTTTTCTTTGGTCTTGGTCTGCTTCTTTCCTCTTCTTTCTCCCCCTACATTCTTTTATTCAACCCTTCTTTACTTTTCTTTTTCCTGATCCTCCTTTATTTAATCTCCTTCTTAATACCTAATACCTTTATCAATTTTCAGCATCATAATTTGCTCTCTGCTTTCTTTTCTATGGCCACCGGTGGAGCATAGAGTAGCTAGCCTTTGCCATGTTTCTGTGTCAAGCTTGTTCTGGTGCTTTGTTTCTTCTCTGAGTGATAGTGGATCTTCATCAGAACCTGGGTAAAGGTTTTCAGTCTGTGCTGCTAGCCAGCGGTGTTAATTCAGAAGAGAGGGGCGACTTTGATTGACACAAAGATTCCCTTCCCACACACTTGGAGTTTGCTTCCTGCAGATTCCGTGCTCTGCTCAAGGGTTCTAAGTGCTTTTCTTGTGAAGTACTCCGAAGGAAACTGAGCTGTGTAAACGAGATGGCTGCTTCCTGCCAGGCCCTCCCTTGTGATAGGGACTCTGAGGGTGGGGAAAGCTGACAGCCTGTACCTCTATAAGTGATGCTGTCCACATATCCACTCTGACTTGGAGGCAGACAGCCACACCACCTGTGGGCTGCGTGTGCGTGAGCTTGGCCACCAGTGCTTGAGTGTCCTCTGGTTTTGATTTTCTGGAGGTAAGATCCGCACACCTAATTAAGGACTAACTGGGCAGGAGGGTCCTGCTTACTGCTGCCATTTTGGCGGAACCATGAACCCTACTCATCACTGTTTGTCGTTGGCTCTCTGACTCCTGAGAACAGAGTAACTTAAAATACTGAGGGACAGACCAGCTAATAGACAGCCCTATTAGGATTTTCACACTGGGGTCAGCTAAGATCAGAGAGGTACAGGGATTCCATTTGAGCTACCAGTGAGGCTAGAACAAAAAAGAATCTCCTTGAGGATTCAGGCCCCTGACTCCCCTGAGTTCTACTCCTCTGATCAGGGATCATAGTATCTGACGCTGGAGGGCTGGGGTGTGAGGCTGTGTGAGATAATAGATGCTCCTGGGGATTTCTGACTGGGAAGAGTTGGGTCTTGTTGGTAATCTTGACTATATCTGCTTGTCTGTCATGATCTACTCTGTTCCTGGGGCCCGCAAAGTGGAGCAAGAATGGGGGTGTGGCAGAGGGGAGCCACGTTAATGCTACAGATGGGTTGGTAATCCTTCCCTCCTGCAGGAGAAGTCACTGGAGCAGCAGCCATGTCACTGTGTTCTTTAGCCTTTGTCCTCTTCTTGGCTGCTGTTGCTGGTATCAAGTGCAATGGGACAGAAGTGTGTGCCGGAAGTCCTGGTATCCCTGGCACTCCTGGAAACCATGGCCTGCCTGGCAGAGATGGGAGAGATGGTATCAAAGGTGACCCTGGACTTCCAGGTACTTACTGTATGGATTACCACATTTTTAGCTCGGGGACAGGGACCTGTTTTTATGAGAGCCATCCCGTACAGGGCACTAGACGATGGGACTTCTCTGGAGTCCTTAGGTTGTAGCATGTGTCTTCAATGTTCCGATGGAGAGACAAGTGATTCATCCACAGGCTAAAGGGGGCCTACATGTCTGTGTCCTCTTTACTCTGTAGGTCCCATGGGCCCCCCTGGAGGAATGCCAGGTCTTCCTGGGCGTGATGGGATGCCTGGAGCCCCTGGTGCCCCTGGAGAACGTGGAGACAAGGGAGAGCCTGGAGAGAGGGGTCTTCCAGGTGAGCAGGGCTGGGGACAGAAGTCAGTGGTAATATGGTACAGCTTGTCAGTCACATGAGGAATTGTAGGGAGGGTCCAAGGCATACTGCTCAACCTAAATAAGAAACTAGGAAGTTGAAGAGAGAAGCCATAGGGGCTTAAATATCACATTTCAGAGACTGACAAGCATCATGGCTGCAGACAGAGGGACACATGGTGTCCTATAGGGGAAGGGAAGCACCACTGGGAGGCCTAGGGGTCATTCTTAGGGATGAGGTTCTGGAACATCTTGTAAGGTAGGCAGGGTTATATGGACTTGGAATCCAGGCAGACAGTGTGATCAGGAATCATGCATACTGGAAGAAGCTCTAGAGTATGGATCAATTTAGCAGCCCATTAGGAGAGTTCAGAGGTCATTATTGCTGGTCTTGGTAGGGCATATGGGATGGGGGTCCTTTTCTTCAGTTAGAAAAACACATAGATGAGCATGTGCATGCAGGGCCAGTCAAGGGATACAGGAAAGCAGAGCAGACTCAAGGCTGTATTAAGAAATGGGTATGTAGGAGTACAGAAGCTCTGCTCCTGGACCCTTGTAACTAGGGCCTGGGCTCTGTGCACAGCATTAGATAGAACTCTGGCCTTTTCGCTGGCGGAATACCTGTTTGGTAGCAAGTGGAGCTCTTGGCTGGCTTGCCCCATCCTGAAATTGTGGGGGTCTTCACAGGATTTCCAGCTTACCAGGATGAGGAACTGCAGACCGATCTCCTCGAGATAAGACATAAGATACAGCAAATGATGGGAGGTAAGGGGACTGTGTGGAGTGTCACCAAGCACAGATGTCTTAATGCTTCCCTCTAGTCTCTGGTACCAGAATCCAGAACCTAAATGCCTGGCAAGTAAGTGTACACATGTGACTTTGGAGGAAGGAAAGGTGCTTTCCTTTTCTACTGCCTCTGAATGTCACAGAAGTGGGCATGGATTTGCTCCCAAGAAAGCGTGAAACTGTAAATTCTGTCAATAAATAATTGTTGTTTATTCAGAGATCTCTATTAGAGAACACGGAGATGGACTTTAAAATGAGGTTGGGGAAAGGAAGGGAAAACACCAAGAAAGACAGAGATGGAGAGATTATGGAAAAAGCTTAAGGGTCAGTGGTGTAACCCAGGCTTCTCTGCTTAGTCCTCAGCTTGCAAGGATCCATGTTGCCTGTCGGAGAGAAAGTCTTCTCCACCAATGGGCAGTCAGCCAACTTTGATACCATTAGAGAGACATGTATCAGGGCAGGTGGCAACATTGCTGTACCAAGGAGCCCAGAGGAGAACGAGGCCATCTCAAGCATCGTGACCAAGTACAACATCTATGCCTACTTGGGCATGGTTGAAGACAAGATCCCTGGAGAGTTCCAATACCTGGATGGGGCTTCTGTGAACTACACCAACTGGTACCCAGGGGAGCCCAGGGGTACGGGCAAAGAGAAGTGTGTAGAGATGTATACAGATGGGCGATGGAATGACAAGGGCTGCCTGCAGTACCGGCTGGCTATTTGTGAATTTTGATCAAGCATTTTGATTAAAAAGATAAAATTCCACATTGTTTTTTAGCCTCTTTCCTGATGATCCACCTGACCCGTAGAATGTGGCAAGTTCCTTTCAACCAAATTTCTTTGTGGCTATTAGAATTAGCAGCATTCTTAGTCACCCCACATGGGCCCTAAACTCTTCTCCATACTCATTAGCTCATCCTGAATGCTCCATTAGAGTCTGTTCTGAGCAGTCACTCAAGGCAGCCACTGCCAACCTTGGCCTTCACCATGAGCTGGAGACCTACTTTTTCCTCACCTTGTCCAGTTTCTTCATTTACGAGTAGTATCCAGGATGTCCCAGCATGAAAGGATCCTCTAAACTACACAGCCTGGCCCTTGCCCTTTCTATCCTTCTGCAATTCACCCTTTCACTGCCCTAAGATTTAGAAATTCAGGTTAAACATAAAAATAGGCATAAGGAACTTTGGGCAAAGTCTGATGTGTGGAACTAGGCCATATTCCCTATCACCTGCACCCAAGCTTTCAGGTCAAACATGGTCTCATAGATGTCACGGAGCTAGGTAGGGCCACAACATAGTACTGGTGGAACACAGTTTCCCTGGTTGACCTGTATAGTCCCCTCCTTTGGGTCTGGAGGTGCCAATTTGCCTCTTGACCTAACAGCAGATCTCCTGGATTTTAAGACCACTACCCTTTATACCCAGATCCTAACTCAGGTAGTTCCCTGCTAATGCACACAGCTGTGATCATTAACTACACTCCATTTTTTCCCTCTTATGAACTAAATCAGCTATTTTTCAAAAATGTTCCAGGTGTTAGGTTATCTTGGGGATAACTGTTTCATTGGAGACCGTTTCATGATCTATGGGATGAAAATAAAGTGATTATTGCAATTACTCTACCTATCAAAACTACTACCCATACCAATTAGTACAACAAAGGCTGCTGATCACATTCTGCATAGCAAGTACCTTGACAAGCACTGATAACATTTGTTATTAGATATAGTTTAATATAACTAATATATCTTTACATGATGCCACAGAACCAGATTAAGGGCATGAGAGCTAAAGAGGTATCTGGAAGAACATGACATCAGTACTGATGGCTGATGTCAAGATAACTCCAAGTCTGAGCCCATGTGATCCACGGTGAGGAGTGATATCATATTTTCCACCCCCACTCAGGCATCTGCTGTGCCATGGGTGACGGTGGAGCACAAGGTGTAGTTTTTCATGAATCATTCCAGTCTCAAATGAACAAGGTAGATTATGTGACCCACTCCAGTCTCAGCTATGTGGAATGGGACCATGATCCACACCCCAAGGAGTCACAGGGGTGTAACTATGCCTTGAGGGGACAGCCACCTGTACCTCTTATCTCTAGAAAGCTCCTGTGCTTCCACCACCTGGCCCTCTCCCTGCAGCAGGAAGCCCGGGACACAGCCAGGTGGAGGAATGTTGCTTACCACTTTCTTAAACATTAACTGCTAAGCTGACCCGTCTATTCTGTGTGATTAGGGCTCCACATACAAGCTGCTGAGGGTTGCCTGAGGGGAAACAAAAAACAGGAAAAAAACATATATTCCCAGTTTTATAGACAGTCTAAAGCTCTAAAAGTTGATAGTGGTCCCTTTCCTATTAGGTCTATTTTTAGGACATTACTTGCTATTGTTACTATAGTATTTTTTGGACACATTTTTAGTGAGATATTGCTGGTTTCAAGGAAAGCATAATTTTTTAATTGATCTTATACCCAATCAACATTTTAGAGTCTTGTTTTTCTCTTAATACTTTCAATACAGGTGAATCTTTAATGTGTTATACATTAATCATTGCATTTACAAATGATGGCATTTTTCCTTGTTTCTAATACATGTATGTGTAATTGCCTGTATTATTTATATATATAAAAATTTAGAATCTCATATGTGTATATAATTAAATATGATCACATCCACGCTCATTTCTGTCTTCCAACTCTTCTTGATCTCTCCTACACATCTATCTCCTGACCTCATGTTCCCCCCTCCTCTGTTTTTAAACCTTCTCTTCTTCTTCTTAAACACTAAATTCATTTAGTGTGGCTTATGTGTGCATGGATGTGGGGACATCCACTGGAGCATATCAAACATATATATAAGCATATTCTTCTAATGTGTTCCAGGAAGTTTTCTATTATTTCACCATTGAAAATTCATTGCTCCATCTTTCCTGAGTAGATGGTTGATATAACACAATGAAACATGTATATCCCCACTTATTGTGTCAATATTACCATTAGCTAATTTATAGCCTCGGTGTCCATCAATAGATGAATAGAGAAAGAAAGTGTGGCATATGAACAAAACTGAGTCGTATTCTAACATAAAGAGAAACAAAATTATGTCATCTGAGGGGGAACTAATGGACTTGAGACCACTCAGAAAATGTCTCATTTTCTTTTATATGTAAAAAACTATATTTAACACACACACACACACACACACACACACACACACACACACACACACAAAACCACCATGAAATCAGGTAGGGGACTTAGGGGATGAAAGAGATCAGAGGGGAGAGTGATGGAGAGATGATAGCATAGCAACGTACAAATTATGTCTCTACAAAAATATCATCGTGAAACCCATTTTTTGAATGCTAATTTTATTTTTAATTTGCATGTTTTAGGTTTCTAAGAGATACTTGGTACCAAGGTAGAGACGCTCCCTTTTTTCTTAGTTTGCTAAGGTTTACTTTCAGTTCCTTTTGCAGGACTGGGGTGTTCAGCCACTGAGACCAAGGTACTTTTTATCTTTTAAATCAGGAATGTGTGTGCTGAACTTTGTCAGATGATGTTCTGGTGCTTGTTATGGTCTCGTTGCACAGAGAAACAGAAATATGAGTGGAGCCAGCTTCCAGTCTTGGGTATTGGCCTCCAGGGCACAGCTGAGACTAAGAGGTTCTGAGACCGAAGAAAGACTCCAAGATTGCCACCACTGGGCCTGCAAAGATGAGGCCACTCATTGGGAGTGTTACCAATCCCTATGTCTAGCCTAAGGAGGATTAAAGTGGGAAAAGGGAGCTGGCCACCCTTGGGTGACCTCGGAACATGCATAAAAAAATATCCTTTCTCCCACTGTGCCCATGAGGCTATCCTTCTAAGTTGTTTGGATAAAGATACTTAATTTCCCTTGGCTTCCCTGGCTTACCATCCAAGGGAGGCATAAAAATCATTTTCAATCTGGCAGAGGTGGCTCTGCCTTTAATCCTCCCAGCACTCAGGAGGGAGGCAGAGACAGGTGGATTTCTGTGAGTTTGAGGCCAGCCTGGTCTATAGATTGAGTTTCAGGATAGTCAGGAAAGCCCGGGCTACACAGAGAAATCCTGTCTCAAAAACAAACAAAAAGGAATAAATTCAATAATAATAATGATGAAGATAATAATAACATTATTATTCTCAGGCTTGGCAGTGACAGCACACACCTTTAATCTCAGCACTTGGGAAGCAGAGGCAGGGGATTCCTGAGTTTGAAGCCAGTCTAGTCTACCTGGAGAGTTCAAGGGTATCCAGGCCAGGGCTACCCAGGGAAACCCTATCTCAAAACAAAGAAGCAGACACTCCTCCCCCCAAAAATCATTCCCACTTCTTGAAGTACTTCAGTGCTGAACACTGAGCATCTGATTTTGCTGAGTCATGAAGAAAAAAGAAATAGGAGACCTGACCTCAACCCTACACAAAGAACTCTGGGAAACCAAGGAAAGCAGGGATTGGAAGAAGGGGTCTTCCCTAGGAATGAGTACACAAATTCGTTGTCCAGGACCAAGTTGTCAGTCATGAAAGCACATGTGCAGGTAGCAGTACACAGACTAGATCATATTTAGGAGTATATATGTATGTGAATATATGTATAAGAATATACATATATATGTATGTGAATATATGTATACGAACATACAATATACATGCATGCAATAACAACTGGTGAAAAAGAGACCATGAATCTGAAGAAGACCATGGCGAGTGTATAGGAGGGTTTGGATGGAAGAAGCGGAAGGGAGAAATATTGAAATTATAATCTCAAAAGTAAAAAATAAGATGGGTAAATAAATAAAATCTAACTAGTGACACACATCAAATATAAAGAAGAATGAGCGGCAACTATGAGCCTCACAATGCCAAAGGTTTCCTGACTGTGTTGGTATCCCAGACTCACCACTGACTGCCTTGCCTAGTTACAGATGATGGCCGGTTTAAGCTCCTTATCCTCCTATCTAGGACTCCTCGCTAGGGTCACCCTCATAGGTTACAGGAAATTTCAGCAGCACTAGGTTTCCACATCACCCCACAAATGCCCTCGTAGTGCAGTCTTCTTTCCCAGTACTTTCTCCCTCTGTCCCTCCTGTAGGTACACAGGTCTTTCCCCATTTTGCTCGAGGTGCTATGCAGGGCCATTCTTCCTCTGCTTCCTGGTTCCTCTGCTCCGCTGCCTGAGGGTGTAGCTTAGAGAGAACTCGCCCTCTCCTGTTATGATAATTTCACCTACGGCCCAAGGGTATAGCTTAGAGAGAACTCTCCCTCTTCTGTTATAGTAATTCCACCTGCAAGCAAGGTTCTAGCAGTAGGCAAGGTTCCTGGGTCAGCTGCTCTCTGACCCTGAGCACAGCCACCTGGCTTCCTCTTTCTCTGATCTGCTGCTCTCCGACCTTGGGTGCTTGGGTGCGGCCACCTGATTTTTCTCTTTCCCTGTTCCTGATGGGGGGCTGGTGTCCTTCTGCCCCACAGTATATATACCCGACTTATGCTTAATAAAGTTGCCATTTGCCATCTGCTCTCTTGGTGAATGAGCCGGTCTCCTGTGTCTGGGTGTTTCAACGCTTTAGGATATTAATCCATTCTCATAGGCTCGGTTCGGGAAAGCGCGCGCCTGTTTCGAGGTTCAGGTGTTCACAGAAAAGTGCAGGCAACACCTCCCTGTAGGAAGATAAGGCCTACAAGGCTGAGAGATGAGCCAACCTGGAAGTC